TTTGCACTCGTCAAGTATTGCTGCGCGGAATGCATGGACATTGTCAAGTTCATGATCCTCGCTGTGCAACAGTGAGATTTAGGCTTAGGGAATCCATAAGGCCAAAAACAACGGTGGAACGTACCTGTCGACGACGAAAAACACCAGATCACTGTTCACAGACTTCGGTGGCAGTCGAGGATTACAGTTCCTAGTAAATGTGAGTCGACCTAAGCAACCAGTGGCACCGCTGTTTATTGATCGGTTTTCTCCCCACGTATAATTCTCTTGAATAAATCTACTGTGATTACATTGCATTTTTAAGCTCAACGTCTTTGCCATAAATTTCCATTGTGCTATGAAATTCGTGCTTGTGATTTGACTTTGGAGAATCAGTAACTGCGTCAACAACAAAGAAATTATCATGTCCAGTTAGGAAGACAGACTTGTGAAACTTTGATAGTAGGTACGTACAAATCTGGCTGTTCATATGTGAAAAAGCAGAGTGAATTTGCAGTTGTAAGACATCAAACACACGATCTACCTTCTTTCGTACTTCCCCACACTACTTGTTGCAGCTCAGTGAACACTGTACCCCAAAATGCATTTAAAAACTGACGCTTTTGATAGATATTCTACTTTAAGTCAGACTGAATTTTTTTTTTCCCGATATACGCACCATGTGCCACTTTGCTGCCCATCTCATCTGCCAAGAGTCCATTCTGAAGGGTATGTTTAGATATTTTGTGGACGACAGCGTAGTAAGCAAACAGCTTTATCGATGATGATAACTTCCTTTAGGTGATCTTTTGGTTGCCGTTTTTTTCTTGAGTGTCCTGTTTCTTCCGTGGTTTTTACTGGTTCCCATGGCTTCCATGTTTATTGCGGTTTCTGCGGTTTTTGCGGTTCTTGCTTAGGGGCCGTCGATATATTCACTTTTCCCCCGCTTAACGTCAACTGGACGTTTAGGTCAGACACCCCCCCCCGCCTCCTTAACGTCCACTCGAAATTTTGCTGCCCCAAAAATCACTGCATTCCAGTACGAATACTGACATACACTTTTTACGTGAAGATGTCACCCATTTACTGTTTTAAAACGTGGTAGAAACTTCATGCTTCGAATTATGCTTTGTCCTACCTGTTTTCTTGCAAAATCTACATAACTAGTTTTTCCTGTCAATGCTTTTGATTCCCTACTACACTACAGTATTCAGAGGTCAAAGCCAGAATCGCTGGTACAAGACCGCCGTGACGGCCGCCATGTTATTAAACAACATGCTAAACCTACTGGCCAGCGGCATTCCATTTTCTGCTTCACGTATGCGTTACTCTTTCGTTACTCCGAAAGCACATGCTTTTTGTTTTTTTGTTTGGAGATGTCAAAGCAACTTATCCTATTCGGGACATCTGCAAAAGATAATAAACGTGCAGGGAACTTAATATACAAAGACCCAAAATCAAAATATGAAAAGTTCATAGAACGTTTTGTAAGGAGAAACAAAGGTCAAGCCTCGAGGGAAAGTGTTGTTATGTCACGAGCGCCGTTTCACGCATGATGTTTAATTTATGAAAATGCCTCAGTTTGCTTTTGTCCAAAAATGCCCTGCACTAACGTCCACTGCCTTACCCCCTCCCCCCCTAAACGTCCAGTTGACGTTAAACGGGGGAAAAGTGAATATGTCGACAGCCCCTTATACAGTAGTTTCAGTGGTTCTTGTGGTTACTGAGGTTTCCCTGCTTCACACGTGGCTCCCCAGGTTCTCCCGTGGTTGGTTGTCGTCTTCCAGTGGTATCCATCTTTTCTTAGTGATCTTAAAATGTACACTGGCGCGACTTGGCTGGTGTGTGTGTTTTTTTGTTTTTGTTGTTCTTGTTGTTTCTGTGGTTCTTGATCTTGTGGTTTCCGTTGTTGGTGTGGTTACAATCAGATGTAGCTTCTAAGCAGTTGATCAATCTGACTCTGAAGATGACTATAGCACGATTTGTGGAAACGTCAGTTACTGTGAACAACAATCCTTTTCAAGACCACACTCACTTGGACGATCATTTTCCACCTACACTTGACCCAGACATATACTTTCATCTTTTCCAGTATTCTGGTAGCTTTAAAGTAACTTTATCTTGCTCTAAAAGCATTTCATGACAGATCTTTCTTCTGTACAAAAACCTTCACTGCTTTTAGAAAAGCAATTACTGGCTAGAAGATATCTTCCAGTACATTCTGAGAGCACAGAAGAAGAGATATTTTGAGGGAACGTAAATAAAATGATGAAAGACAGGCGTCGCATTTGAATAATATTGTTGTGTTGTCTAGATGTGTCTCAGTGAAGGACCAAGAATCTGATGTCGAAGTTACATTTCGTTTATATTTTTGCGTCAGAGAACTCGCAACTCTATATCTTGATGTTGCAGATTAACTGGGTGCCTTTTCTTTCGCTTCAAAGTGGTGCTCTTAATCTCAGCGGGCCGGTGCTTGGTTCTTGAGATCTTTAATCTATAAAAGGACGGTGGGCTCAGGCATTGGCCAATCAGCTTTCTCAGACCGTTTTTATAATTTTCGCTGAACATGAAATAAATGATTGGATTTATGGATGGATTAGCAAAAGCCAAATAAAACGTATATTTTCCGAAAATCATTAAAAGACAAGGTGGCTCTAGTTTCTTGTCAGACCAAGCATACACTACCACGAATATGTAAATCAGGCAAGGAAACCAGCAGAAACCGTAAGCAAATAAGACCGTAAGCATCATGCGAAGGACTTTTCTGTTACGAATTTGCCAACGCTTTTGTCCTATGGATCCTAAACTGTCACTGGCATCGCATGGAACGCAGGTGCGCCTGATTCGTAGAAGCATTGACGAATAAAGGGTAACTATAAATACAAATGGAATGAAAACCAAAAGTGTAGTTCGGATTGTAAGTTCCATTTTCAGGGCTTCAAAGTCATTTTTTACAAGCGGCTTCCAACTTTGATGGCAGTAAGGACGTCCGTTTTTGACGAAGAAGTTGAAAGTGTAAAAATATGTTGAGTACATAACACAGGCTATCAGCCAAGTAGATGTAATCATTGCTTTGCATCGTCTACGAGGAGTAGTATCTGCTGGCAGCGGTGTAGAAATCGCGGTGTAGCGTTCGATGGCAATATACAAGAGGCTTAGCAAAGACACGGCTACTGATACGTCTAGTAAAAAGTAAACGGTTTTGCATGAGACGGCACCCAAGCTTCCTGCAATCAACCAAGCATCTTTATAGTAGAATATCTCCACAAAAAGTATAGGAATGACAAGCATGGAGGACAAGAAATCAGAAACAGCCAAGTTGGTAATCAAAAAATTCACGCTGGTTCTCATTCGCCGTTCTCTGTAAACCACAGAGACTACCAACGCGTTGCCAATAAGAGATGTTAGAAAGATAAGCGCACAAACCATAGTTTCAGCAACCTGAGTTGGGGTTCCATTGGGAACAACACATGCGATGTGAGTGAGATTATTGCCGTGATCAGTTTTTGATAAATTGGTATCGTTCATGGCTGAATTGGGGTCAGCCATTAGTTCCGAATACATGCAGGTTCTGCATTTGGGAAAAGCTATAAATACTTTCGGCTTAAGTAATTACCTTTTGTAGTTACTGATTACTCATGCATTTCTTAAGCCAATGAGAGAGTGAGTTTTATATGAAAACTACTAATTAAAACTGATCACTTCTTTTTTGTCATTTATCTGTCAAGCTGTGAGTTTCTAATTTATTAGCTTTTCTGCTGTTTTCTTTGTTAAAAAAATAAAGCCAGTGACATTTTTCTAAGGCAGATTTTTTATTTCAATCTTAAGAACAGTTACTGCATTTATATAAAAAAGATAATCTCAGATCGACAAATCAAAAGGGGAAACCTTTATTTGTATCTTAAGAAACCGTTTATTGCACTTTGATAACATGAACTCTTCGCTTTTGTATTACAATCCCATTTTCAATTTACCTACACATCACAATCGAGTCAACCAAATAGGTCACAGGGAAATCCAAATGATTTTTCTAATCTGTCGAATTGCATTTGTTCAAAGCTAACCTCGATTCCCTGAAACTCTATTTCAATGTCAAATTTCAATTCAAATTGATTTCTACGTTTTCGAAAAGGTGCCTGTTTCCCATCAAACTATTAGTAAATTGAAAAGCTGTTAAGGGTTCACCCAAAATTATCGCATGTATCAATATTGTTTTAGTATCATTATTGGTTTTAGGCCTGTTCAATGATGCCATAGTGTTTCTCTCTGCCTTATTGATTGGTATAAAACAAAAGCTCAATTTATTCAAACATCACTACTGAACAGTCTTTTTTTATATAACTTAACAGTTATTTTTTTAATGTGGCTTCGCCGCGGGTGGAATTCGAAATGAAACTACTTCTTGTGATTTGTGTACGAGGAGAAAATGGGTTGCAGTTTGTTTTCCTTTTAACGGATGTCTTATTGTTACGTGCCATTTGCGTTTTTGATTGGCAAACTTGAACATTAGTGACGCTCGATGCACGCAAACGTTTGTGTTTCAGCCTTGCGTGGTATGAAAGGAAATGGTTCACGTGTTCTTTCTAGCACAGAAACTTTTCATATTTTTTTGGAACTGGAATTCGAATTAGCAAAAACATTTAACTAAACCAGATAGGGTTTAAGGAAACCAGGGGAACCGCTTAATTCTATTTCTGGTCGAGTTTGAGCCGAGAGTTTGTACAAATTCATTTTGACTTTTTAGGAAATTATAAAAAGGGACGTTTAAATCATAGCGTGTGACAGTGGAAATTTTACAGAAAAAGAGTTTGCACCGTACTAGGAATACACCATTCAAACGTCAAGGAGGGAAGGGAAGTCGTTCCGACCCCCTTAAAATTTTGCTGCATGAAAGTGCTTTAAAAATAGGGAATATTTTAAAGAATAACGATGATGAGCTATACAAGATAAGTGATGTAAACGTGTACGGATAAAGCGTTGCTGTAGAACTGTGTCGTCATACATCACTCCGACCGAAATCTTCAGCGCCAGTGTTTGGAGCAAACAGACAGAAAAGCAACAACGATAATGGATGATATTGGAGGAAAGCATCCGTTCCATCCCTAAAAATCTAATAATACTAATGATAATGATAATTATATTTAGAAGAATATGAATTACAATAACAATAAGAATAAGAATTATTATAACAATAATATTGGTCGCCTTTTTTTATTCTTTGATGTGAGCGCGCGGCAAAAGGGAAAATGCTAATGACAGTAAGGCTTCCTCTTTCTACAATAAACACATTCAAAAGTATTCGTTGAGATTTGACGCCTACGGTAATAAGTCTATTGTTTCTGTTTGAAAAGAAGTAAAAAAGAGCATCTTTGAATTACAGCTGCCAGTCGGCTGGTTTGGGCTCTCGGAGTAACCTAACACTCAGAAGCGTGTAATAATTTTTTTTGCATGTTAATAAAGAATGTCACACGGTCGCAATAGGTTTTGATTTCTTCTTAAATCCGCTACACCTAGGTAAGAAGCCCTACCTGGTTGTTTGGACAATAACTCAATCACTAATATACAATTTGATGTAATTTGTAGTAAAACCAGTATCGGGTAATACTGAAATGAACCTTTTTATCATTTAAACAGCCTAAAGCACTTTCAGCCTTCAGAATTTCTGGACCTTTTTTGTATAACTTGCAAGAAAATGTAAAACAGAGAACTAAATCGTCTATTATTATTGCATGACATACCAAGAACAACGCTACTAATGCAATTATAAAGTATGCTCCGTGCTTCTTACGTTTGAAGATAGGTGCAGTTTTCTTGGAAAAGCAATTGTAACCTTCATGAATCTCTCGTGATGTAACTGCCTTTCGGAAGGTGGAATCTCCGATTGCTTTGGCCCTTGCGACAATCAGAATACGGGCAACAGCATGGGAAACTAACACACACGCAGATATGTCAACAATCGAGACTCCGGTTATCCGTGAGATTTTCCAAACCGATGATCAAAGGAATTACCCACGATATAAAAACGACTATTTCAGGGCTTCCTGAAGTCATGCTATTAGGATATCTGAAGGAATGAACAATGTTTATGCAGCGATCCCAGGTTAAAATGCCCAAGTTTGTAACGGAAGAGTGAAGGAAAAACCAATCATGAAGGTCACATAGACGCTCTTATTGCATACAGCTAAGATGCTACAAAGATGTCCCATGGGAAGTATCCAACTCCCACCCCAAAGTCAGCAACAACTAAGGGCAAAACAAACCAGTTGGCCGTGGAGTGTAGCCTGCGATTTTTGACGATAAAAAGTACCAAAAAAGCCATTCCCAGTTGCTGTTATAACAGAAAACAACCAGCCAGAGGTATTAAACCATTTTTCTATCGTTAATATACTTGGTACACGTTACATCCGATCAACGCAATTAAACGACTTTGAACTGCGCATGCTCACTGGGTTGTGTAAATGGCAATAGCTGTTGTTCACACATACATCTAAGTCATTAAAGTTTCCGTCGCAAGCGCGGAGATAGACTGCTAGCTCAATTATCCATCTAATTTCTTTTTCAGTATAAATACTAAGAAATGTTTCCCGTGAAAAACTACTCCAAAAGATCATCACAATCACGTCATTCGTGTTTTGGCCAAATGAATCATGAGAAATAGTCAGCTGTTCAAAGAAAGAGGTCAGTGTAAATTTTTATCGTCACGGTTACTATCAAGTAGTTAATGGTTTCGTTTGAAGATAAAAAAAGATGTTTGGAAGGCATTACTAATATTTTCTTTGAAGGACACTACTACATTTATAAATTCTAATCGCACCCTTTCATGTACATGATCACCTGTGGTTGCATATATTTTAAAACACCAAAAAATATGAAAAATTAGACGTAAGCTCATTTGTTTGCTATTTCATCTATTCGTCGGAAGAATTGTTTAACTTTTAGCCTAAACCGCAGATTAAAAGTGGAAACAATGGAGACCTTCCGGCAGATGCTTATTACAGCAAACTTTCCGTGTATGCACTTGCATTATGAATAATTTCAAAAATGAGTATTTCGTCGGTACATTTCGCCATTGTTGGAATCAATGAAATAGTTTCCCAGCTATGCAGATAATCATTGAGGCATAAAAAGTACCAATACCCGTTTTGAAAGAGCGTAGAATTTTAACACAATATAACTTGGGTCCTCTCAAATTAAGCTTTGTCAGATATGTTTTCGCGTGATGGTATCATTGAACCAATCGATCGATACAGCAGGTTAGTAGTCTTCTCACTCAATATGTACATCTAAACTCTAAATAGGAACGCATTTGACTCGAACTAAAAATCAAACTTGAACTTGACCTGGAACAGGAACTCAGATTCAACCAATAAATAATAAGTAAATGAAAAATGAAACTATAGTTATAAATATTACATTAATTGCACTTTGATCATAGTTGGGAGGGAATTGCATAGACTATCACATTGTGTAGATAGCAATCACGGCGGAATCATATAAGTTTATTTTTCCCTTCAACTTTCATCGTGAACGTTGTCGAATAGATTCTTAAGACTCTAGTCATATGAACAGTCGTCCCTTTGTTTGCTAATAAGCTTGTTATCGTTCGCGGTCAGTGGTCTCGTCAATTATCGAAAACTCCCGGGTAAAAAGCACATGGTTTTGTTCTTTGCTTAGTTTTCTCTTCGACCGCTATTGTTGTATTCGTTCATTGTTCAATGTAAATCTCTATGGTTCTGAGCAATACAGTTGATTCAATTTATCTCTGCGTACTCTCTTTGATTACGACTCGTGTCTCTGCGACATTATTTGGTGCCGAGACCAGGATGGCGGAAACTCTACCGAAACTAACCTCTTCTCGTGCGGGTTATCGAGCTCATTTAACAAAGACCCTAAACAGGGCAAGGGATCTCATGGAGAAGGAAGAACCCACCGAAATGGGTATCGTATCGCTAAACAGCATCACTGAGCAACTTGCACGGAAGAAATCTATTCTACAGGAACTTGACGAGAAAATCGCACCACTCCTTGAAGAACCGACGAAGATGAAATCCAAGATGAAATACTAGAATTATCTAGCCAGAGAAGTAGATTTATTCATCTCACATTATTTGATAAGAAATCTACTCAACCCCCTTCGCCTGCCACCCATCAGGAATTCCCGCAAGTGGTTGAGCAATGAATCTCTACTCGTGCAAAGTAACCGTTCAAATCCTCGCTCTTCAGGAACTCAAGAAACGTCCCCATCCACTTATTAGGGAACTTAAGATAGAGACGTTTTCGGGGCGACGGCAACTTCAACCGGACGTGACATCATCATTTGTTGGATATTGCGCATGCTCGTGCTCACCACCTTGCCGTCGTGGTCCCGTCGGCGACGTGAAACTGGTCTGTTTGGCGTTGTGGCGAAAACGTGAGTATTTAACTGTCATTTCAATCAGGTTTGTTGCGTTTAGCAACCAACATTTTGCAGATTATCGTTCTTAACTTGTCCTTGTTTTCTTTGAGGCACATTTCAAGCTCTATTTCCAAGCTATGTTCTCTAAACTTACATCTGTGAATGTTTCTATGTTTTCATGTCATAGGGTCAATATCCAACTTGGCAAACAGCCAACCGTAGTGAGCTTGACATGGGACAAAATTTTCCCACGAGCCAAATAAAAGTATCCAGACGAAAAATATGAACTCCGATATTTCAATTGTGTGTTTTAGTTCGCTCTTTTCGTTAGAATATCGTATAAATGAAACGCATTGAAAATTATATAGAATAGTAGGTAATACCATGTACTAACTCGGCGTGGGAATACTGAAATAAAGTTGTTGCCGTTGTTGTTGTTGTTGCATGCAAGTATTTCCCGGGAATTATTTCAATACCAAACTAAGAATACGGTTCCTTGGTAGCATTTTAATGTTCCTGTAATTTGCAGGGCTTCGGCAAGCCTGTGGAGATCATTTTTTTTCAACACGAAATTCTGCCTTGAACTCAGCTGCATCCCGCATGTTTGTTAGCGTGAATGGATCGTAACTGTCCCGAGGAAAATCGGGATTTTTGGACTCATAATTTTCCCAAAAAACGAGAAACTCTTCATCCGATACATGTTGTCTGCATAGCAAATATTTATTCTCTTAATTCTTTATGTGAAGCCATATTTTCCTCTTCGGTATATTCTTCTAATTAAAGGCGCCGTCCTTCTGAGTTCACTGCGATCTTAATGTTCTATTTTTGACGGGGAGCGACGGCTGCCTTAGTTCCAGGCTTTCTCTGCCAGTCCGGTCGCCGTCGCCTCGAAAACGTCTTCATCTTAAGTTCCCTATTAAGCAGCCTCGGCGGGAACTTCATACACACAAAAGAAGAAAAGCTGCAATTCATTCCAGTACGGGGGAGTACCGAAGTTTGGCTACCTAAAGGCCTAACTGGCAGGGGATGCATCAAGGGTTATAGTTGGTTTTCCACTCAACAAAATCAATTTTGAGCAAGCTGTAAAACTACGTAAGGAACGTTTTGGCCAACCCAGTAAGATAATATTAAAGTGCCCATATGCAAGAACAAGCTCTCCTGGATATTTCAAGCCCCATCAATCGATTAACAAGTTTGCAGCTGTTTTATAACCCGAGGGAAAGTCATGTCAGAGATCTTGAATCGCTCGAAAGATCTTCTAGCTCCTATTATCCTAGGAGAACTACCCCATGAGTTGAGAAAGAACTTACCTCGCAAACATGACAGTCCTGAGTGAAAATTCCAGGAACTGGGAGGAGCTATCGTAAAGGAAATTCGAATCCTTGAAGCAGGTACCTAACTTAATGGCGCCCTTCATGGATTCACCCCTACAATTACCAGTTCCTTCCTCACTCAAATACAAGGAAATCATCTTTATCCTGGGAAATCTAACAAGGCAGAACCCAAACGGAAGTGCACTTACTGCAAGGGACCCCACTCCTCGTACAATTGTAACGTGATTACTGACTGTCAGCAAAGGTGGTCTTTAATTAGGAGGGAAAGACTTTAGCCCCATTTACACGGCAGAAACTTTTTCGCGCGGCTTGGATGAAAGTGGTACGCGTACCAAAAAAATTGTACTGATTACTCATTTACACGTTCTTTTTTCTATCGTGCTAAACGATGTGAAATTATGATTTGGTACGGGTAAAAGGCTCAACATCTCGGCCAGCGTACTAGATTCTTGCCTAGTGCGCATGCTGTTTCCTCTGTAAAAACATGGCAAACGAAAAGTTCTTAGAATTCCCATAGCTGCATGTAGTCTACGAACCATGAACAAGTGGGTGGTCATTGAACTACTCGTGTGGTTATTGAACTATTTTGTGGTTATTGAACATATTGAACTAAAGAAAAAGTATTTACCACTTACATATAGTTAATGCTACACATTTACATTAAAAAATTCTAACGTATTTGTGGCTATTTCCCCCGCAGCTGCATACTGTCTACGCTCATCAATGAACTAATATGTGGTTATTGAATTTCTGGTGTGGTCATTGAACTACGTACCGTCGTGTTTACTGAACTTTTGCTCGGTTATTGAACTAATGAAAAGCTCATTTGCATATGCTCTCCTACATTGGTGCTGACCAAAGGCAAGAACGCTCATCAGAGAAACGTTAGCTCGGCACGGCTAATCGTTTATACTGCCCACTTCATCCGAGCTGGGCTAGATTTTCAGGATCTCGTACCAATTTTATCCGTGCTCGGACTACCTCTCGACATGGTCCGAGCACGGGTGAAATTTTGGTCCGGCACGGATGGGGCAAAGTCGTTTACATGGCTAAATCTATCCGTACCGAACCAATTTTTTTGGTACGCGTACTTTTTTCATCCGAGCAGTGCCAAAAATTTTCTGCCGTGTAAATGGGGCTTTTGTTACAACTGCCTGGGAAACCTTGTACATCAAGGGTACCGTTGTCATAAATGTAAGGGAAAACATCACACCAGTCTCTGCTCAGGGAAACACTCACCAAGAGGGACTGCCACAGCTCCCATTGCTCCTACGGTTCCCAATAACACTCCTCAAGACACGAGTAAACCATCAATATCATCTGTTCACGCTACCCTTTCACCTATCACAGACCCCACACCTGCAGCCAGTTTCCTGATCAGTGGTGATCAAACTTCACTATTGAAAACAGCCATATCAATAGCCAATACAGAGCACATTTATTGTGAGGCAAATATTGTCCTGTATGAAGGGGCAAAGCACTCATTTATCACTCATGCCCTGGCCAATCAACTCGTTGTACCACTATTGAAGAGTGGATCAAATTCTCTCTCAGCCATTGGTGTTCATACATCAGCCGGCAGACAGTTAC